TCAGCCTACTGCGCACTTAACGCGCGACCAAAAGAAATATGAAAATGACTGAGTGATTTATCTTAATGACAACCTAAACTCAAAATAGAGAAAGAAACTAAACTAAGACAGGTTACTACTACTAAATAAAACACGGGACGAGGGCCCGTCCCATGTTACCGATGCGCATCTACAAGTAATCTCAAAAATACATGTGGCTCCCGAGGTTTCACGCAACAAATCCACCGCGCAACGCCAAGGTTGTAAGCGATGGCATGTCCCCTCAGCTTCTGTGGATGTTAGATTCCAACTCAAAATGCTTCATCAGTACTGCGGCGCGTCGAAATGCGCTAACGAAAAGAATCCGTTTTCCATTCCTAAGAACATTCGACTCAACTGCTTTACAAAAAAGGACAGGAGCAAAGCAGCTAAAACGTAATTCGAACAAGATATTTAAAATCAATAAAACGAAGACAAACAAGGGCATCAAAGTGAGGCACCGCCGCTTTATATAACGAGTAGCTGGCAACGAGCCAATAAAGGGGAGGTCCGGGGACGATCGCGGCAGCACGCGTTTCTGCCACCGTAATGGTCGCCGGATAGCGCGGTAACCGATGCCCCCGGCCTCTGTGCTTGCGGAGCTTGCGGAGGGTCTTGCATCGCGAAACGCGACAAGGTATGTTAAATTTTCGTGATAGAATCTGTAGAAGCGTACCGTGATTTGTAACCATCTACGGTATATGGTCCGATCTGACAAGTTTGGCCATGTCGGGCACGGCAGTCGGGCAGCGGAGTCCGACACCCGTCGAAATCGGGCTCTGCTGCCCAAATGCCGTTGCCCAACTGCCGTGCCCGATTGTCCAGGCTCTCGTTAAGAATGGCCCGTACAGCGAGTGGAGTATCGATAATACCGCCCCAACATGCTCTTACCCCCCCCCCCCCGTGCCTACTCCATTTGCACTGCTCAAATTTTGCAAAAGAATCGATAAAATCGATATTGATGATAACGAAAGATAGCCTACAACACCCGTCCCGCCCCGTAGCGTATGTGTGCAAAGCTTGGTCCTGATCGGTTTAATTCTCTATTTGGAACATACCAGTGGCGACCCAGGATTTCGGCTCGGGGGGGAGGGGGGACAAAAAAAATCCGATGAAGTGCGTGATTAGACGCACCCAGAAAAATTTTTGGTATGAATTGAATTTTTAAAAAATTTAATAAATTATTTTAAGTACTTACAAGTATAAATAAGTCCCTTACACATATTTATAACTCATATAAGTAACTTTCAAAAATTTCGCGGCCCATCCTCGGGGGGGGGGCAGTAAGAACAACGTGGCAAAGCTTGCGCCACGTTGTCTTGAGCGCCACGTCGCGCCAAACTATGCGCTTGCAACGTGGCGCGAGCCCGATACGAGGCGGCGCCTCATCAATTCACGTAATCCAGGCGATGTTGAGGGAAACATATGGGTTAATATTGAGGCTACACTAGAATTTCAAATCTGCCCGGACGCTTTGATGCCGAGTTCTGCCGATTGGGGAGATCGCCGGCAGACATTAGGCCTAAGGCATACCTGACGCGATTCGGCCAAATCGCCGCTTTCAAGCGACTTGGCGATTTGCCAGATTTCTAAGGATTTATCGTGCTTGCTTCTCGAACGCATAGGCAGGTAGCTTGTGTAAGTTGTTGCATATGGGTCAAGTCCTGACCAAAGGAAAGCGCATTAACGACGAATTACAAAGAGTCGCTGTTATGCCAAATCGCGCAGCGACCGGAATCGCGCAAGGTATGTCTTAGGCCTTAGGGGAGACTATGACATGGAAAGCTGACAACAAGGGGGGGGGAGAGGAGAGTGTACAATATAAAATGTACGTAGATGCGAGACACTACATTGAGCTTTATCATAGTATCTGACAAGAAACGATAGGAGTGTAACCCCGGAGGTGTATTTGTCGCTCGCGAGTTCGATAGGATTGGCCCCGGGGTTAACTATGCGGCTAGAGGGGCCTAACTACTAGAGATTAATACTAAAGATTTATTAGACAAGCAGAGGTCTACAACCTACAAGACGACTACAAGAAATCTAACCTACAAGATGCATTAGAAAAGGAACAGCTATAGAGGGAGAGAAGAAATCTCATAGAAGAAATGAAATTCAGGAAAAAAAATGAGTCGGCCAACCATCCGTCCGTCCACTGCTTGGTGGCTAAGGTATTTATGTGAGCCCAAAATTAATTAAGCTCCAACTCCCTCGATCAAAGACATTATACACAATTAATATCGCGGTATCATTTACAAATATGAAACAATTGTGCCTGGCACCAGTTTGCACAGCATCGTGTCAGCGTCGTTGTCGTTGTTGCCGCGTTGTTGACGTTATACAAGTACGATGTTGATAACCTTCTCGATATCCGGCGATAGAATAGTTATTACTGCACGTTGCCATTACATCCTTCGCTTCGGAGAAGATCCGTCTCGGATCTTGAGGAGCCGCTGTGCTTGCGCAACGAACGGCTAGGGTAATGGAGAGGATGTGGAGAGGGTTGGAGCTCTCTTTTTTTTTGTTTTGATGTTGTTTTTTTTTTTTTGAAGCCCACCTAAAGGGTGAACGGATGATTTGTAATACAATCTAAATAATCTACAGCAAATATTGCAGGAAAAAAAATGACAGGGAAATGTTGGACGCGAAGTTACTGTATCGCAGGGATACGGTAGTAAGGCGAGACGAGAATGACGTCATCAGATAGTGGTGGAGCCGGTAAGGCGATGATGACGTCATTATTATAGTAGAGTTGAGTCACTGGTCTTGAAGATGACAAGGCGAAAGGACAAGTTGATGAAATACATCGATCGTTGGATAATCCACTTTGGCATTGATCTTAGAACTAGCCGGCTCTCTGTAGGTCAGTTTTTCTTCTTATCTTCTTTTGTATTCTTCTTTTGTAAATGTATTGTCGGTAAGAGAGGCTTTTCTTTTCCAGCATGATCGTTGACAGGAGCTACTGCCCATTTCGTTGTTTCGACCGTGGAGTGTGTTACCAGGACTCCGGCTCCGTTTTTTGCATCTGTTACGAGGCAACTGAAAATAAATTTTGTGAAGACACCTCTGCTAATCACCCAGCTGAAGCTTCAGCCATTTCGGGTTTTAGCATTGGTGGGTTTTTTTCTGTTCACGCAAAAAAAAAAGGCAGCATTTCCTGTAAAAAGTTAAACTATGAAACCATTCTTTTCTCTTACAGCTGCAACCATCTTTTTCTTGTTGCTGCTGGCATACGCCGTGTGGCGACGTTACAAAGAATGGAATCAGTCGCGAGTGATTAGCCGCCATGCAAGAGGACATGCAACTCCTCCGGCTCCGAGGGAGGAGCCGCAGGCTCCGCCTGCTTATTCTCCTCGCACGGTGGAGCCTTCTGCTCCTCCCTTGGAGACGGCTATTTAACTGTCAATTTTTTTTGATACCTTTTTTTTTCTCTGTAATGGTACCCAAAAGGACAAAAAAAACACCTCCCGGCTGATCAGCTTATTGTTTTTTTTAATCACCTCCCGCAATAAAAGAATTGTAGTTTTGTACATGTAAACACTACATGAATAATTACATCAAGCGTCCTTATAAAGCTTTGTCCTATTTACGTGGATAGTGCGGATTCGTTTTCCATCGCGAATTGTAACATTTGGTTTGCTTATCTCCAAAATTTCATAGGGACCCTCGACGAGTTATTATAGGTCTGAGACAGCTCCAGTAGATGGTTTCAACCCTAGAAGGTTGCATTAAGGCGTTGCCAAAATGATCTCGCGATGTTCTTCTTCTTCGGACACGTCTTACTCGCCTATTTATGGGAAGCATACTAAGATTGGAAATAGGCCGTAGTGGCGAGCGCCACGGTACTGGGCTTGGAGAGCGCGACGATGTTGAGCTGCTCATTATTGGACTTCGCAATACTTCAGATGATCCGTTTACTGTTAAGTCTTCCCATATTATTGGACTAGAGCTAGGAGTTGATTCTGTTGCGGATGGCATCTAAAGAATGGATTTTTTTTTGGATAATTTACGAAATATTGAAAGGGTGATATATGTGAGAATAGGACAAAACATGAATGCTGAGTTGAGATGAAGTGTTTACAATATCGTGGATGCAAGGCTTACAAATGGGGTGGGGTTGGACGACCGAGTACTAATTACTAACAGATAAACCGCGGATTCCGGCATGATGGCTTCGAGGGGGGGGGAAAGGGATCACGAGATAGAATTTATACTAATGACAGCGGGATTCTCTTACAAAATTGAATTACAGCGCGACCTTATTATTGAAACAATTTATGTCCGCGAGCGGACGCGCTGCCCGATCGGGTTTTGTTCTTTACCCCTGTAGAAAAATGGGAGACGTCAGCAATGCTATAGCGCTTTTCTTATCTACTGTAACTACTGTTTATTACTCGCGGGAAAAGGAGGGGTGCTGACAAAAAATGCTGAGATATTAATTAAAGAAGAAGAAGTGGGTAAAGGGAGGGGGGAGGGGGGGGGAAGAAGGAAGGGGACGAAGCCATCTCGCCGGAACCTCCATGTAACCCCGGAGGTGTATTTGTCGCTCGCGAGTTCGATAGGATTGGCCCCGGGGTTAACTATGCGGCTAGAGGGGCCTAACTACTAGAGATTAATACTAAAGATTTATTAGACAAGCAGAGGTCTACAACCTACAAGACGACTACAAGAAATCTAACCTACAAGATGCATTAGAAAAGGAACAGCTATAGAGGGAGAGAAGAAATCTCATAGAAGAAATGAAATTCAGGAAAAAAAATGAGTCGGCCAACCATCCGTCCGTCCACTGCTTGGTGGCTAAGGTATTTATGTGAGCCCAAAATTAATTAAGCTCCAACTCCCTCGATCAAAGACATTATACACAATTAATATCGCGGTATCATTTACAAATATGAAACAATTGTGCCTGGCACCAGTTTGCACAGCATCGTGTCAGCGTCGTTGTCGTTGTTGCCGCGTTGTTGACGTTATACAAGTACGATGTTGATAACCTTCTCGATATCCGGCGATAGAATAGTTATTACTGCACGTTGCCATTACAGGAGTCGAACGTGCCAATTACTTTCTCCAAAATCATCATTTGATCGTACACGTTCATTTTTTTAATTCAAGCGGAGAGTTGAAAAAATGAGCAAGTATCTTTTACTTTCAAAGATCAGTCAAATTCAAAACTGGGCTTTGTTTCGAAGCTTACGCCTAAACTCCATGATTGTTGCGTACGCTTCTCACAAAAGCACTCAAGCAGAATAGCCCAGTCAAGATGGGATTTGGCTTGTGACCGAATGTGGGACTAAACTGGAAGGGGTGCATATATTAGGTTGCGGAATAAGTTTGTTCTCTTCCGTTTTAGTTTTTTTCTCAATATCTTGCAAAGCACCTGGCAAAATGTTTGTTTGCAATCGTAAGCTCTAAGTCTGCTCTACCATAATATCTACCATCACTATTTTCTCAATATATGAGAAGTAAATAAAAAGACTACAGAGCGAAAAATTCAAGATGGCGAAAATTTCATTCTCGACACCTTTTTTTTCTCGCTCTTACTTTTCCAGTCATTCGTTGATAAAATTTATTCAAAGTGCGTAGCAAACAAAACAACAGAATGATTACCTATGCAACTACTGCCACTGTTTTTGGTGCTCACTTTATTTCACCAAACGTTTAATGTCATTTTTTGCAAAGTCTGCGAAGCATGACTTTGCCGCGGTGGCGTCAACGCTTCGAGCGCTTGAGTTGTGTGTCTCTCGAACTTTGAGCTTTGGAGTAAGCACCCACGTGTTAGATGATTTTGCGTTCACACATAACCTTGTTTGCCAATCCCTGGATTGCTAACGACTATCCTTTCTCGAAGTGCTTTCAAATGCCTACGTTAACGCTGAAGAGTCATCTACCATGACGCTCGTGATCTTGGAAAAAAAACCACGGACAGTTGCCCGTTTCATGTGACGGGCCACATCGTGGGTAGCGTGGCCCCATCTCACTTTAGAGTGGGCAGATTCTTAATCCAAGGACATTATTCGACTAAGCTCGGCGCGGCGCATCTTTTTATATATAAAAGTGCCCGTTTGGACACAGAAAGAGGTCAGGTCCCACAAACGTTTTAGACTTTTGCTTACGGTTTGTTACTCGCTGGACAATCAACGCGGAATTCTGAAAACCATTCGTGGAATCTCGCCTCCTACTGTGTCCAAACAGACACTTCTATATATCAGAACATGCGCCGCGCCGAGCTGAGTCGAATGGTGCCGTTAAGAATTCGTCTACGTCGCGAGATCTGGTCACGCTATGGTGATGTCATATGAATCGGGAGACTGTGCGTCGTTTTTTTCAAAGATTACGAGTATTCTAGATATTTGGAAGCGAAGAGCAAACATCTTCAAGCTTACAACATGAATTTTCGAGACGTTTCAGAACGTTTGGGTAATTTGCAGGTATTACAGCGTTCCATCCATACACGTTGCAAGTCCATTTGAGAGGCAGCTGCCAAAAATGGAATCTTTGCCTTTTCGGATTTTGCGGTTTTTAGTCGTAATTTTTGATTTTCTGTGGCATGAGAAATTAATGAAAAAACTTGGAAAAATAGACTTAGGGCTTCCTAACTCATATAAACATTTTGACAGATGCTCTAATAGATACTGAAAAAAATAAGTCAAAAAATGCGAACGGACTTATTAACGACCTAATAAAAACATTCGCAATCATGACAATGTTTACTGTAGTAACAATTTGGAGATGTGTCCATTGAATAATTTTTCAGACTTTTTTCTGGGAGACCTTTGGCGATGCCGAGAGGAAATGTAACACTTTTGGAGGACATTTAGCTTCAATCCACAGCGAAAAAGAAAATTCTATCGTAATCGGTAAATTCTTTTGTTTTACTAAACATGGAATACTGTGTCTTGCTTTTAGAGATGGCAAAGTCGGGTATAAGACTCACTCACAATACTTGTTGCCAAATGACTTGGATAGGGTTAGTACGATCTGATTATATGAACTTTTCGGCGTCGAAGACGGTTAAGTGGACCTGGACTGACGGCACGGAGGTTGACTTCCTATCATGGTATCCGGGTGGACCAGATAATTGGAATAATGACCAAGGCTGCGCAGCGGTAGGCACTATTTTTTTAACGGAGAAGTTCAACGAGTTACATAAGTAATGCTTTTTAAAGTGGTTAAAATTTGAAGCGGAAGGCATCTATGTAAGCAGGTTCTAAATTACTACAAGTTTTTCTAACTCAGCATGAACTCTAGAAACCCATCATTACAGTGATAACCATTGCAGAATATTGGGCCAACTTCTGAGAAACTGACTTTTTGATGTGCTCTGAAAGTTGACCACTTTTTTATTGGGATGCGATTTCGCACTCCCAGTGTTTGATGTTCATCGAGACGCAGCTTAGGCGGAAAGTGGACTGGCGGTAGTCCGTTTCGCAGCGATTCGCGACGCTTTGCAGTCTGCGTCTCTTCATTCTATTCTATCTCGCTGAGCCAGTGGCATGTGGACGCGTTGCTCCATTTGAGATGTATCGCCTACTCGGGGTTGAAAAAGACTGTATTTTTACAGAGCTTACCAATTGCAGAGTCCAGGCGAGGCGGACACGCGAAAGCAGAGATGCTGGTGCACCTGACTCTGCAATTACTAAAACCCTGTAAGGAATAAGGAATTCAAATCGCAGAAGTCTTTGACTGACTAGTGTCGCAGAACGTCTTTGCAATCCTTTAGTCGCCGAATTAGAGTACGGCAGCAAGCGCAACTCAGTTTGGTTTTTTCCAAAAAATCGTACACGTTTTCCAAAGCGAATGTTTGCGATGGGACAGAGTTGGTGAAGCTCCGTAGGAGGACTGCGATTGTTCGGTTGATGGGTGCTTGATCAAACAGAAAAGTTTGCTTCCTACTTCATGTTTTTTATGCATCAGATAATATTACGCGATTTTTTCACATTCCATATATGCAAAACAAAGAAACGTAATGCTGAATTACACCCTTCATACGGATCCAACCGTACCTGCTAAAAAGCTTTCATCTATGCATACGGAAACACCTTACAAGAGAATGGTCAGAATTCGAAGTGCCATTTCACACAAGCTGCATACCATTAGATGCAGCATAAAACGCTGACTCTAAATATGTCTTCTTTATCTGCAGAGCGCTTATGTGGACGAAATTATAAGCTGCTGAAGGCCATTATTTCGCTTAGAAATTATGCGTGTAAAGTGCAAACTTGGCCGTACAAAGCCATTCTCGGCTCAGTGTTGGAACAAAACTGCAATTAGGTCACTTCATATGACCAGTACCTAAAGGTGAGCGAAAAGCGCAATAATGTGCCTAATTTTGCAATTTTTGTACACGATTTTTTCGCAATAAAGCTGCTCATCACTTCGCCTACAAAGGCGCTCTGCAGATATGGAAGACAGATTTGAAATCAGCATTCTATGCTGCGTCGAATGATAAGCAGCTTGTAAAGATTGGCCACTTCGACTTCTGACCATTCCCTTGTTAGGTCTTCTGTCCTTAGATACATTTAAACGATAATCGCAGCAGAAATCCGACCTTCACATTTGGCTTATTTGATGCCAGCGCAGTTTTCTCTTCTTCCTTCTTGACAAGCCTTTCCCATTAATCCGTTCGGACGATCTGCCAAACAAATAATGCAATATGAACTAATTTATGCTATGAGCCTAGCACAGAACGGAAACGCTGTGCCACAGTTTTATATGAATAAAGTCGTATCGTTGGCAACCGTTGCGAGTTAATGTCCAACAAGGAACAAGTTAGTGGTATTGCTTTGGCAACCATCCAGTTTAAAAGTAATGCCCACCCAGGTCTTTGTCTTCCATGTTTTTGTCATTGTAGGGCTTTTCGGCTGTGAGTACGGGTATAAAGTTGCAAAATGTGCAGAACACTCAGAATACCGATTAGAAGTCTCATCTTAAACGCACAGAATATTCTCATTAGCTGGGTGGCCGGAAAGATTTAATGCAGCCTTTAAACAAGCGGAGGGTAGTTTCATCGCCATAACCAACGCAGTCGTCCTCCCAGGCTCCAGCGATTCTGCTTCATTTTTTGATCAGAAGATGACGTCGATCTTCAAAATGGAAGATCCTCTCAAACTTCAAGTTTGCCTCGCTGATCCATGACGATAACTGAGGGTTGACGACGGCGGCTGCGAGGTGTCAGTCCGTCAAACACTTGCGTTTCAAATTCGTCGAACCTGCGCTCAAAGTAGCAACAGATCGCTTATTTTGAAGCTTTGAGCTCTTTGACAATTAGTTCATGCGTAGGTTTTGTGGTACCCTATCAAGCACCGTACTCTCTTATGTTGTCTGCTCTACTCTAACAAAAAAACTGTATGGGATAAGTTCAGTGTAGAGACAACAGGAACAATTCTTCATCACTTACTGTCCTATTCAGACCAAAGCTGGCATGGCAGGAATCCGCGTCGCTAGCAATTTGCACCACCCCTACGGCCTGCTTTCTGCCCTGTCTTCGCTCTCTAGGGCAGCGCGTATGCGGTGCAAGCCCTCGCTTTGCAAGGGCACAAATTCACTCCACTGTTCGGCCCGATCCCTATTGCGACGGACTGCACAAAAAATAAGATACAGTCATTCTTGAGATTGCCTAGGGTTGTCTGCTTTTCATAAAAGAAAGCAGACATCTCCATTCGAAAAATGCAACTCTTGTGTGAAATGATTAATTGAACACTGCGGAAATTCACGCTGCACTTTGAACACACTTGTTCCGTAACCGAATACTCGTCTAATTGAAAATAATCAAGCTTCGCACACGACCCCATAAGCTACTTTCTTTAAGAAGTGAAAAAATTCGTTGATATGTCAAAGCAACTTAGGGGCGAATGGCGAATGCATGGACATTTTCGCCATGGAGGGAAACGCAAACGTAAGATTCCTATTTTGTAGCTGCAGAGCCAATTTCATTCTGTTCATCCATTATTGAGTGTTTCTACTACTCTTTACTATGAACATGTTAAACAGAAGCGCATGATGTTTGAGCCGTACCATCCACCTATTTATATGTTTCCCGATATAGGTGAAAGACGGTTTTTTTCAAAATCATTTTTTTTTTTTGAAGTCAGTGTCCGAAAGTTGTACAGATTGTCTAACACAACAGCGCTAAACATTCTTCTGGTGAGAACAAATGAGTTATCGAACTATTAGATAAATAAAAAGGATAAAGGATTCGGCGTCTTCAACACCCTCTGGGCTTGCGCCGAACGCACATTACTTCATAGTCGGAGAGGCAATTTTATGCGTGCGAGCCTATTACAGTGAATTGCGGAGACCAGCAGTTTCCCAAGTCAGGGCTCTTATCCTCCCCGATTACTCTGGTACAAGTTTACCGGCCCGAAGGATAGAAGGCTGACTGGCCCAGGAGCGAGGATCGAACCTGTAACTGGTCATATTGATCTGGTCATAGCTCCCGTACGACTACGCCACTCGTCCCTTATCAGACTATGAAGTTTTCGATTAACCACAAGTTTTGAGTTGCGGTCTATCAAAACAATATATTCATAAATCAATTGTTCACTATCGCTTGATGAGCACTATAAGTTGAGATAATCAACACAACATCGTATCCTTAGGACCTCAAAGCAAGAAAAATGAATCTGATACAAAGCAATTGACAGGGGGGAGGGGCAACAAGAAATCATATAAAAAGTTGGGCGACACACCTCAAACAGCAGTGCACTTCTGTCCTATATTTTGACGCGAAAAGTTATGATATTGTTTTATAGACTAGTGAACCAGTAATCTCAAAGGTGCTAGCTGCAGGCGCGCTCGCTTTGGGACTCGCTCGGTTTCCCCCTATTTGATAACTTTTAAATGCTCCTTACAATCTTTATATATATAGGGCGCAAGTTATACGACGCTCTTTTTTCAGAAATGTCTATAATATAGAGTAAAGTTACATGGTATGGATGAGCGCCAAGCAGCATAAAATCTGTTCTTCAAAGCTTCAGCATATGGAGTTTTGAGCACAGTCCCCTTCGGTAATGTCATTGCTTACGGCGCTGAGCTCATTGCTTCCTTTGCGCTCTTCTATCCCGTCTCCTATGGTTTTCTACAGCGGCAGTCTACGCATGGGGAAGCGCAACAATTTCTAACAAGAGCGTTTTGTACACTCGTTCAGCATGTATTCAAAAAGCTACTTTCGTCACTATCGCGGTTCTCGCCGCACAGCCGGACTTGAAAATTTGCTTTCTTTCCTCTACCTTAAGACCTTTTTCATTTCGATTTATTTTCGTTCAATCTTAGCAGGGCATGGCACAGGTGGCTTAGCAAGCAAGCTGGATATCGTTTTTGGGGAAAAAGCAAAGGAGATATCGTTTTTGCGGAAGAGAATAACGTTGTCTTTCGATCTGCGGCCGGCACGCTGCCGGCATGCCGCTAGCAAATAAACAAAAGGTTTGTTTACAGCGAAGTGAAGATGAAATGACACCAAAGCAGGTGTGTAGACGGGCAATGGGGAGTTAGAACTAAGTATGAAAAATTATGAAAAAATTATGTGAACTAAAGGCGTGCTCAACTTTTTTCGGAGTTAGGTGGCTTTCAAGCCACCTGGATAGCCACCTGAGGTGGCTTAGGAAAGAAAAGTCATAAATCTTTCCTCCCTCACATAACTTTTCCACTTTCTTTACATACTTTTCATCTACTTCCCGAACCCTACAAACTGGTTCCTAAACTGCCTCAAAACCCCTTCTCGCCGCATAGTTATAGCTTGAAAATTTTGAATGGCCGCGGAAAGGCTGCTCTAGGCGCGTATTGCTGCACGATGGATACATCATGCCGCCAATCCAGAAAAATGAATATCATCGCGTGTGTTCGATGATTCTTTTTCGTTTTTTTCTGCTGTTGCTTTGTTCCGCCCCTTTTCATGTATGTATTTTCTTTTCGAATATCTCGTAGCGGATGTCGTAATTTCATTGAAGTCATAGGGGACTTCATTTTTTGCAATTTCGGGACGCCACCTCGTGCCGAGCCCTGGTCTAGGGTCAAAGGGGACTTCGTAAAAATTCGCAAAAGTCAAGGGGGACTTCGTTTTTTGCATTTTCAACTAGCCACCTCGTGCCGAGCCCTGAATCTTAGTTCTAATTCAAATTCATTTCAGCTGTACGCGGATCCTTTTGCCGAAGACGACAATGTGAAATTCTATCAGAAATGGAACGATGTTGAATGTTCTCTCAATTTGAGAAACTATGTATGCAAGAAAATGACTTTGCACTGAACATAGTATAAAGAGATTTTATCGTTTTTGTTGACAGTCTTTACAGTCAACAAATTTTTTTATTAAAGTCTCTTCGTAATCAGGGTCAAGCGCGGAGTGTGCCATGCCATATTGAAGGGTGGGGGGGGGGAGGTCGTTATCGAGATGATTTTGATGTTAGCAATAACATGTTGTTCGTTAATAATGTCAGAGCACACTGATGTTTTGGCCTACTATCCTCATACAGTAAGCATAATAAACGAACCCTGAAAGCATAATAGCATCACTTCCGTATTTTACAACACTGGATTGGCTGGAATGCGGGGCTTCGTGACATGGCTAAAGACAGCGTCTCGGCTGAATTTCGTTTTCCAGATTTTCACGTTTTTGAGGCCTTCTCGCCATAAGGAATAAATATCTTGACTTTTCAGTCTTGGCTTTCGATATCCTGACTTTTCATGTAAATAGCGAAACTGAACTTTTCCGAAGCTTCCCAGGTCCGCATTCAGTGAAGAAGGGCAGATCCCGGAACGAGAGAGGTGGGGCGCGGTTTTTTCTGGCGTATCTTCACTGAATGCGTTCGCCATTTTCATGCGCTGAAAAGCCCAAAAATAAAGTTCTCATGGCGAGAAGGCCCCAAAAACGTGAAAATCTGGAAAACCAATCCTGTCGAGACGCTGCCTTAAAGGCTAGAGAGTGTTTAGAGAGCACGAGCGTGAGAGTTGTTTCGTGGGCGCGAGCGGCCTTAATTATTTCACAAAGCCTCGCCTTCCAGCCGCCAAACACAATCAAAGTTTAGTTAGCATATCAAAGAACCCCTGCGGACCAAGTTTCAGCGAGTTCTGTGGTCAAATATGGGGCATAATACCTAAGTGAGATGGTGAGAGTGAGATGGACATGTCAACCTTGCTTCAAAGATGAGTCACTTACCTCTTGCACTTAATACCAAGAACTATTACTTCTTTGCTCATATTTAAAATCGCACTTCAAATAACCTCCAAACGATGGATAAGAGGAGACCGAAACTTGTCCCATTTTTCGCTTCCATTATCTCAGACTAGAGAAGACCAGTCTAGAAAAGAGACAAAGACCAGGCTCAAATCAATTTTTGTGAGCGTTACGAGGTTAAGACTATCAAATATAATTATTCTCCCCTCCTTTGCTCGCAAATCACGAGTAAGACTTAGCATGTTACCGTACCCCAATATTTTATCAGTATTTTCCACTTGCATTGGAAAGGAAAAAAACGATTTCATCTTTCTTTAAGGAAAACGATTTATAACGAAATCTTTGCTGTGTGGAGAAGAAGGATTAGAGCGGCAAGAATCTATAAAACACAGATTTTGAATGCTTTGAAAGTAAGTTGATGGGGTGTGGCACAGCCCAGAAAAGGTGTGGCAGCCACATTATTTCTGAGGTTCTATCACACCTCATTGCTTACCTCCAAAGAGAAAGCGAACAAATTATTAGTAATTCGATAGGCAAAATCTCGTAGTTTTTAAAGAAGTGATTAGAGTCAAGTTCGTTTTTTTTTCGCTTGTGTAGTAGTTGCTGAAAATACAACCGCTGTAAGCCAAAAGCAAACAAATGGGACAAATGAGATTTTGGCTGGCTTCTGCTCCTTTATAATGGTTATTTGGAGCAGGGGTTATGTTATGGACTAGAGAGTAGTGTTTTATATTGAAGTACAAGAAGCCAATTCAATTTTGAGAAGACTAGCTTACTATTCAGTGCTTCCTGCATAAAGTATGCCTGCTTGGAAGATTAATGTTGGCCACAAAACTCCAAAAATTTAATTTTTAAAAACATTTCATTCCACACAAAGCTTTTGACTGGTCAACGGGATAAACAAGCATTTGCGTGCGCGTTTCTCTGCAGAAGATTCAAGTTGTTTCTCGTATTGAACTTCTACAGCTTTTGTGAATTTCTGAAACTTAAGTAGAAAAAAGCTTATGTGAAAAACGTTGTCCTGTTTTCTGTAAACATTTTCACATAAAAATTCTTTAAAAAGGCTATAAAAACGCAATTTTTCAGTTTTGCTGCGATCTTTGATGATACTATTCCCCATCATTCGAGGCGAAGCCCCGGATGATCTCTGTTTTTCCCCAGGTGAAGATTTTGTCTGGCATGGCTCTGAAAGTAAAGGTTGCCAGGAGTGCTTGGCTCTATGTATCGAGAGTATGTCCGTGATATAGTTGTAACAAATGATTTTTATCGAATGAACGAATATCGCATAATTGGTTTCTAAAATTTTCGAACGAGTAATAACTGAGTAATTGATTTTGAAAATTTTCAATGAACGAATATTATTCGATTTCCGATTTCCATATCATTCAAGTGAATAAAATATGGACGCACATGCCAAAATTCGATTCGAATAATCAAATAACAGAATTGTTCGAATGTTCGACCATTCGAATGATCGAATAACTAGATGTCGTCGAATATTCGAGCAATATTCGAATGTTCAAAGGCAATAGTCGAACATTCGAAATTAGAACGACTATTTTCAAGACTTCTCGTTCTCGGATATTCGAGTATTCGATAGCTGTTTTTTTAAATTCCACGAACATTCGAATACTGGAATAAATTATTTTTCCGAGTCATCGAATGAACGAATATTCGAATAAGGAACTTTATTTACTCGACGATTCGAGTAATCAAAGAATTAAACTTTCGCAGATATTCGACTATTTTGATATTCGAATACTCGAATATTTCGGATAAATTATTTTAATACGATTACTCGGTTCAACTTAGTTCGTGTTTAAGATCAGTCTGTGACATTGAGATCAACAAGTGACGGTAAGTATAGATGCAGTACCTACACCAAAATAGAAATAAGGGTTTTTCAGACACAGGAAGTTGAAAAGAGAAACGAGAAGAGTTTGCTTAGAAAGAGAAAAGTTTATGTCAGCGTCAACCTTTGCATTTTGGCATAATACCCCAAGTATACGTCCAAAATGTGTCGTGGGAAAATCGAGTCGTTGGTACTAGTGACTCTCGCATCGGGAAACTTTATCAGTTTGTGCATAGGGCATTACTGAATAACCAAATTGAATTTCAATCTTCTCCTTTATCCGAGTTAGTCTGCTAAGCACTTCTTGCAAATGCTTTGCAATCCAAACTTTGCTCATTTGAGTTTAGAAGATGTAAGTCTCCGGCTTCAGTAATTTCTGACTATGTTTAGAGTCTAGCTTCTGAACAATCGACAGAAAATATGGTTCTGATGCACCTAAACAAACAAATGTGACATCTGTTCATATCTTAATTCAACAGCAACGATATCTCATAAAAGAATGTAGTATTGACTCACTTATTTATAGTGTAGAAAATTAGCAACCTCAGGTCTAGTGATCAGTCACGCTTTCAACACACTCACAGTATAAGTGAAAGGCCTTCGCTTAGAACTTCACTGGAACAAGTCATGCGTTAGAAACTCGGTATTCCAAATTGTGAATCAGCAGCCTTACAGACATTCCAAAACACCAAAAGACAGCATAAACGCGAGATAAATCAAAAATAAAATTAAGAGTAGGCGGGGTCACGGTTAGACGGGGTTAAGGGCATTATACCTGGGCCAGTACCTGCCTTATAAACTGTCGGTCTGCTTTTAAGAGTAATGTAAAGATCCTTCCGCTAGCCATGAGGGACATGGGTCCCATCCCCTTGGAGTTATAAGTTGTGGTGTTATGAGTATCAATGCCTATCAATGCCTACATTTGTATACATATCTACTAGCCTAACATATTCAATGCAAGCTGTTTCATTTTTCTTACATCAATCTGACTAGGATTAGACTCGGATTGATATGATGATGTCTGCATTCGTTTGCGTTTCTTGTTCATTCTGCTGTTTAGCTAACTTCTCGATGTGTTTTTTTATGGAACGCCTTGAGCGTACAAAGAAAATGAAAATGGAAAAAGAGTACAAGATTGTACTATTCGAAGGCCGAAATCAAGTCTTTCGATGATGCTTGACGAAAAAGCTGTTATTATATTTTTAGCACATTTAGTAGACTAGTATAGATGATAGCGCAAATTCTTCATTTGAGCAACTCGGTAGAGTTCGACAGGAATGCCATTTTTTTCACGCAACCAATGAGAAATCAAACTGATTTGAAGGCAGCGTCCGCTCGTGGAAACTTGAAGTATGATAACGCCCTCCCGGAATTTTTCTTGCATTATCCATGTTCCAACCTAACACATTTATCGGAAGTTAATCACCTTCTCACGAAAAAAAACACTTGCTCTTAGCTTTTTTTTGAAATACATTACTCAGTTGTACACTAAATGACCTTCACAAACACACATGCTACGAAAGTACAAAATATAAAAAACACTCGCGATGCGTGTAGTGAATAAAGAGAATTTCTTCGCAGGCGTTTACACTACATGCTCATCGAAATATGTATGTTCATCATAATACCATGCAGCGAGAAGGAACATCCGAGAAAACTTGAGAATTTTCAGAAAATTGGGCGTATATAAGTAACACTTTGAATGCCTGTTGTGCAAGCAAAAATCTAGGTTGTGAGCTATGACGTGGGAGCTCGTTTACACATCGTATTAGATTGTGTACAGAAAATGAGAATATCAGAATGTTATGATGGAAATTTCAACTGATGAATTACTTTACGAAAAAACAACAGTGTTTTCTGCTGAGAATGTGATACACTGCCGGTAAAGTAATTTTATTGCTTCAAATTGTAGGAACCAACATTTTTTGATGTTGACAGGCTTTGCACTTTGTCTGCTAGAATTTACACGGATGCAAAATGTATGGGATTGTGCAGAAATGAACCCACGGCGTCAAGCTACCCACTCAATCCAAGCCACTGTGCATTGCACCAGTCAACCACTTTTGTGTTAAGAGCGCGTATCAAATGTGTGTGTAACATAAGAAATCCTTTATAACTAATGACGGCTCGGCAGATTTGGAATGCGAATATGAGGTTACCGTCTAGTGACGCATAAGCAACATACATCAATCATCTGATAGCCACTGAAATAGTGTATTCC